ACAACTCTCTTTCTTTTTAATCTAAAAGGACACTAGTCAATAAATATGATTTTAGAAGTAATGTTTTTAACTTAATCGTTGTCATGCTCGGAAAACTCAAACCATTGTAAAATTGTACCACTTGTTTTATTTTTTTGCAGGATAAAGAACGATACGAAGACAACTGTATGTTGCAATTTGTTGCCGACTTCCGCAAGAGGCTGTATGGAAAGTAGCAACAAATGCACGTCGCGGCCACATAATGAAAGCGATAAAAACAAAAATGATAAGATTGTACGGATTGAATCCCTTCAAATGGACCAGACTGATCAAATTCTTACATTTGCAATCTTACATTCTTAACTCTTTTTTACATTGGTTGATATATCACGAGTGTAATCATTTGTAAAATGACTATCACATGTGAAGTTTAGTCAACTTTGCGAATAAGTGTTTAAATAAAATCATACATGGAACTACTAAATTTACAAATATAAGAGAGAAAGATACAAAGGGTGCGAATCAAATGCGACTTACTTTCACTTCCTTTGAACTGACTTCACGCATGACATATGTATAAAACGACTTCTACATATTCATTATATTGTTAAATATTATTAAAGAAAGAGCTGGGAATTTCAAAGAAAATATTAAATATTATACTAATGAAACGAATAATTATTATAATTGTATAAATTATCTCTTACTAACCATTAAAACAAATGACGTACTATATCTTCAAAGTGAAAATTACTTAATCCTATCGAATGATTTTCTTTATTTTATCTACTTTGTAATGAAGCTTTCAACGATGCTGTGTCCTGATACTGTTTGTACATATTTTCGTTTATCTTTACTATAATTGTAGTAGAGAACGGTGCTGAAGGTTTCGGCGATGAAATACTCGGATAGTGTTTTAAGATGTCATCTTGTAAGGTTACCACAATTGTATAATAGAGAATGTTGATAGATACAGCGTAATATAATACTAAAATCGCATTGAAAGTTTTAGTTATTTACCTACAAATTCATAATATTACAATTAGTCAAAGTAGATCCTTATAAGAGAGTTCATATTTAACAATAATAAAAACGGCACAAATGTAATAGTTGCAGGTATATTAATAAATGTTTGGGAGATTTGGCATGAACGTTAAGTAGTTTGAGAGTATCAGAAACCAGAATGAGGAAAGAATAAAGAAAAAATAATTTACCTTTATTTCTGAACCAAACTGTGGAACACCGTGTATCTCAAACAACAATCAGAAGTCGATACCCGAGAATAAAAACGAATCGCTCCACTTCGCCAATCCATCGCTTTCCGACTTCTTATTGGTCACGTGATCCCCGCGCGACCCCTCCCCAGCCGCGACCGGGGCTTCTGATTGCCCTCCGCCACGTCTCACGCATCCCGAAGCTTCTCCGCTCCACCGCACCGCCGCGCCACCGCGCCGGCGATTCTTCTTCCTTTTAATTCCGCGGCCTCCTGGCTGCCCGGGAACTTATTAGCGAGCTTCTTCCGCGGTGCTGACAGTTGCGCAGCGGGGGATTACCCAGGGGGCTTAGCGCGAGGTTAATGAGCGCGGAGTCCACCAGCGGCGCTGCTGTTCCCGCTGCGGAGAGAAAGAGAAAGAGAAAGAGAGAGAAACGAAGCGAGAGGTAGAGAAGAGGAATGAAGAGAAGATAAAGGGAGAGACGAAAGAGGAGGAGAAGAGATAAGGGGAAAAGTGGGAGCAAACAAATGGGGAAGTGAGAGGGTAATAAAACAGAGGGAGAGAAACGAGAGGGAGAAAACTAAGAGGAAAAGGAAAGAAACATAAAAAAATAAGTGGACAGAGAGAAAAGAAGGTATGAAAGAGTGTGAGAGTGTGTGTCAGATAGGGAGAGAGAAACAGAGAGCGAGAGAAATAGCGAGAGAGAAATAGCGAGAGAGAAAGAGAGAGAGAGAGAGAGAGAGAGAGAGAGAGAGAGAGGAGAGAGAAATAATTTTATCTCAGCAATCGGTTCTTCTCCAAGAACAGCCAAGCTCGTATCATGCTCTTCACGGTCTACATAAAATTACGTCCCTTTAAGATTTTCCCTAATTCGCAGAATTCGTGCGAATTCATCGCACAAACAAATAACATGATGTAAAGCTACAACAGAAAATTACTAAATACGCCGATACGGAAAACTGAAAACCTCAAAAAATATTTTCACGTTGCTCAGTAGTTAATTTTCAAAAGTTATGAATTGAGAGATTTACACATTCGAGAACAACATAGTCAATACTCTCTATTAATTCAGAGTTACACAAAACTGTGTTTGAAAATGTAATTGATATGGATTTCAATATCTATACATGTAGTATGTTGTAGATAATAGCAAGAAATACTGCTATATATCCATTGCAACTTAAAAATATAATGCATTATAAACAATTATAATTACGGCATTAATTTTGCAATAACTACTACATAATTTTGAACACACATATTAGACGATTGCTAGAAATTGCGTTTAAATTCACTCTTTAATATTAGACTTTAAAAGCTATCATTAATCTTTGAACCTAAAAATCACGCTATGAAACATTCTTCTTTCGAGAGATCTATTGCAAGGTCACAAAAACAAAAGACTATATCAACAAACTTCATGGAATACAGTAGGTTATGAAAACGAACAATTGTTTTAATTTTATAATTTCATTGAAATTTTGTTTTTATATATTAAATTCTTTTAGTAATAGCGATGATTCTGTGGCCAAATACTTTTCATTTAAACCCCCCCAAAAAATTGAAATTTGGTTGAGTATAAAGCTCTGATTCTTTCCAAAACAAATATTCTTTCTGTTTTGAATTAATAATAATTATGAGTAATCTTCTCCTCAATAGTACACCTAAAATCAGAATCTACATGAATACAAGTTCAATAGAGGAAAAAATAATTCACCATTATTTTTTAAAAGTTCTTTTGGACATAACAGAAATAACAATGAAAAAAGAATATCATTCATATTTCAGTCTACCTCGACTTTTGATATATACTCTCCAGCGTCCATTAATATCGCATACATGCCCACAAGGGAGAAAATTTTCAGCAGTTCATTCCGATTTCAAATTACCGTGTGAACACAACACACGTCATCATGTGGAATCGTTAATTATCCCTTTTAAATCAAACGCGGAAGAGACTCGAGAGTTACAGATATTTCCTGCCGGAGGTCCACAGAAATGTCATCGAGTCCCCCTTATCTGTCGAAAATTCTCTCTTGGAGCGGGATGTCAATAGTTATTAAATGAACTCGAGTTATCGGCGTGTTAGCGCTTGTTAGGAAAGGATCAGGCGCCACGGCCATTCATCACCTCGTGACACGCATTGATTGACAATTCATTATCGGACAAGTGCGCTTGCGTTCTGCCCACCCACCCGCTCGCCCAGTGGCAGGGGCGGCAATCGCCCCGCGCGATGCGCTCTTACCGCCCACGCCCCCTCCGCCCCCGCACGCCATCCCTCGGCATACCCTGGCAAGCGTCCGCGCGCCCAGCAGCGGTCCAGCCCGTTCGGCCTAGATCCGTCTTCTCACCCAGACCCCATTCGCTTGTCATTTCGCCTATCTTTGTACAGCAACGCGCCCCACTCCGCCCCGTTCCTCCCCTACGCCTACATCCTTCTTATCTCCAACACGTTCAGTTTCGACCCGTTCAGCTTTTCCCCGTTCAGTTTTGCCCCGTTCTGCTTTGCCCCGTTCTGCTTTGCCCCGTTCTGCTTTGCCCCGTTCAGCTTTGCCCCGTTCAGCTTTGGTCCGTTCAGCTTTGGTCCGTTCAGCTTTGGCCCGTTCAACTTTGGCCCGTTCACCTTTACTCCGTTCAGATTTACCCAGATCAGCTTTACCCCGTTCAGCTTTGCCCTTGCAGCTTTACCCCGTTCAGCTCTGTCCGTTTAGCTTTGCCCCGTTCAGCTTAGCCTATTTCCGCTCGTCATGCCATCTAACTCGGTTCTGCACTACTAAATCACGCGCCGCTCCGCCCTACGCCAGTTCTTTCCATATTCGAGCCGTTCAGCTCCGACCTGCTTAGCTTCGTCTGTTCACCCCCGTACCTTTCAGTTCGTTATTCTGTCTAACTCTACTGCACTTCTTAATCACGCCTCTCTGCGCCTCGCACTCTTTTCCACCCAGATCCCACCGGATCAGCTCCGACCCGTTTAGTTCCGCCCCGTTCAGTTGAGCTCCGAATAGTTCCGTTCAGATTCGTTCTTCACCGGCCCGTTCAGCTCTCATCCGCTTCGTTCAGTACCACTCCGTCCACTTTTTCTCCGTTCCACCCGGCGTCTCCCAAGTCTGCTCTGTCCAGCTCCGTCAAAAATATATTTTTTTAAAAATTGTGATTGAATTTCTAAGTTAAAAAATGAAAAGATATTTCCTTCGATTGTTTGCCACTTTATATGTCCTAAGCACTTTCTTTGTCGAAGTTCATCTGTATTCGGTTTTGAATATTAATTGTTATTTTGAATGCGTATTACAAATTATTGTAAAATACATCGCGTATGTTGATTCTTGGAAGCTCGACCAATTCGCCATATAGACTTGTTTACAGGGCTTTTATGTCCAAGCATTTGCCAATTCGGTTTATGACATACTAGCCGTTTCTTTAATACTGTTATTCGTCCAAGATTTCGCCAAACAGATCGTAAAGCAGAAGCCATCAATTCAAGCAGCACCACTTGGATGACTAGTTTCAGTTATATGGTCACTATTCTGGAACGGCTACAAGAATTACGAAGTCCATCTTTCACGGAACGTAGCTTCAGTATTGCAGTAAATGTGTACTCTACGAAACATTTACTCACGGAATTGGAAAGTATATTTAATACCCCTTTTCAAATAAATTTGGATAGTGTATTGAATTATTTAGAAAATATGAATTTTCAAGTAGAAAACAGTGCATGAAGGTAGCTGATAATTAACATTTCAGTATGTAATAGTTATTTTCTAATACATGAGTATTTCACAGTAGTTTCAAAATGATATGTATGTGCGGCGCCTTTTCAATTGGCGCGCACGCGACATGGCGGCGCGCGTTTCGGGGCTCGCCACTTCGGTGTGAGCAGCCCCCAGAACCAAAAGCAAGAAGCGAGTCACCGGTGTGACGTCACCAGCACTCCGGAAGGTGGCCGCAAGGGCAGGCAGTTCAGGAGTCAGCTCGGCAGTGAGCACGGCAGACAACACGGGAATCGGGAGCCAGCAGTCAACGGTCAGTCGTGAGGGGCTCAGAGCAGTGAGCTACCGAGAGGCGCTGGGAGACTGCACCGCGAGGGGCCGGCGAGGCCCGCGTACGAACCGCGCAGGGGAGAGCAATGGAAACGCCAACGAGAGATGGCTCCAAGGGAGGGAGAGAGCTGGTCGTTCGCTCTACAGGCGCCCCAATCAAGTGGCCGGGGTTCATTCTAGAGGGACACAGAAGCAAGCGGAAGGAGCTTCTGCACCGGGCAGAGGCGGCGACTGCAGTGTAGGAGGAGCATCGCGCACGAGAGACTTTCAGTATCCATATCG